AAGCTACACTGTCATTTACACTAAAAAATTAAAAATACCTTAAAACAATAGAAATAATAAAATTACCTAGGCAAAAACTAAAAGCATCAGCTCTTAACTTCCCCACTTTCAAACATGCCACAGGTTTTACAATTATGACAAGCTGTCAGAATTTCTAATTTTATGTTCTCATCCAAAATGTCACCTTCAGAAAAGAAAAATTCCTAACTTCATGCTCAAGCAGGGCTCCTTACCAAATACTATGCTACCAACACAACTTCTAAAAGTGCATAGGTTTCATACTGAATGCTTGGCAGTTAAACACTGACAAGGCCTACTTAAAGTGCTTAACCTATGAAACATGATGATGTCACAGCCCAGTTCAGTCGGATTGTGTGACAGTTTACACCTTACAGCTAATTAATTATAGCAAAAGTATGTTAAAAGGTAGAAGATGCATGTGAATTAATAGTGCTTACATAAATAAAAGCTGAGCCTACAGTAATAAAATTTAGTTTGCACAGATTTCTTCTATATAAAGCAATATAAGATTTTACTAGAAATATTTGGAAAAAATAATCTGCTTCCATATTGCTTTGAACCACGCAAAAATTCTTTATAAAAATGAAATCTAAAGTAATTTTTTTCTAAAAAACAAACAAACCCCCAACCCCCCAAATTTCTAATTAGGTAAAGAAAATTTTAGCCTCTTTGATTATAACCCAGACTTTTAAAATTATTTTAAGATACCTAATGGTTTATTTGGAACTAGGATGCTTTTTTCCTATTCAAATAAGAAACTTCTTCTTTTTTTTTTTTTATTTGAAAGCAGTCATTTTAAATTAAATTGAAAAGTGTTTGATTCATTATTTGAGAAGTAAGGGATTTTGGGTAGTATCTTTTATTGGACTACCTAAATAGTTGGGAGAATACCAACCATTTCCCAAAAAGGAGCCACTATTGCCACTAACTGCTGGGGGGGTGGGGAAAGAGATTTTATTTCTCTAAAACTGGAAAAATAAGAGTCTGCATTTTCCTTTTCTGTATAATAAAAACAACAACAGTATTATGGAAGTGCCATAGGAGTTCCATAGTTAAGTTATTTTGTATTTGCACTTAAAGTAAGAGTTAAAAAAAAAACACAGGCTCAGAAGAGTACTTAAGCATATAGATAACAAAAATGTATTATTTCAAAAGGACTACTTATGTACTTTAAGCCAAGGTCATCACTGGATTTGCCCCCTCCCCCCACCCCCGAGTACTCAATATCTTAAAGGAAGTGGCCCTAAATTTCTTTGACAGTCGAATCCTGCAGGGTGCTATTAGATGCTGAACAGCTTTACTCCTCCTAAAGTCAAAGGGGTTTGAGGGCACTTGGTTCCTTCTGGTGCAACTAACAAGATCTACTCATCAGTGCCCAAAGGGATATTCTGAAAATTGACAAGTAAGATCTTGATCCTGCAAACACTTACTCATATCGATTCAGGACTTAAATATGTTAATTAATCAATTCAACAGATTTTAAAGTGTGCTCTTTTCAAATGCTCTTCTTTAAGCATTCTTCCTGTATTTTAAAATAATTAAAAGCCATTAGACTAATAAACCCCTGATTTTCAAGATTTAAAAAGCTGCTAATTTCTAGGTTAGAGTTAAATACGAAGCAGAGGGTCTTTCCTCACCCCTCCAGTTTACCAATATGGCTTTATGCATTTCTTTTGAACATATACCCACTAGTAGTAACAGCCACTTCTGTCATCAGGACTATTAACAAATATATGCATGGATGGATCAGATCAATACTCTGGCTTCTAAGGCCACCATTTTCAATAATGACCAATGAGTTGTCTGTATCAGCTTCAAAGGATTTTCCAAAAATCCCAACCATCTAGTCTTTTAGACATTTAAACAATTTAGACATCTTTTTAGGTACTCAAAAATCACCAGTCACTTTGGAAAATTATGCCCCAAGCTTTCTTTTAAAATAATGTATCTAGCCCTTATAGTCACAAAGTAAATTTTGGCAATGTGAACCAAGTGTAAAACAATGCAGTTTTGTCTTTCTGTCTCCAAACAGCATGAAGAAATAGCTCCGAGAGAGATGAACTGCTCCACTTTATCTCAATGTGATTCTCAAAATTGACTTCTTAAAATAACTTTATGCCAATTGGTTCTTAACATTAGCTTGTTATACTAGTTCACAACTAATTATATGACAAACAGCACTGAGCGTCTTAGTGGCTCCATAGTCAAGATCATGATGCCATTTATATTAAAGCAAGGCTTAAATCTTTTCCAAAGGCAGGTATTTTCTGAATTTTACAGCACACCCTCTTGCAATACAGAATAAATATTCTTGACATTTACATTAAGTTATTTAGAAAAGTTATGCATTCAATTTTGGAATAACTACCTTTGAATGTTTTTGGTAAATGTACCTTTTCTATGTTACCTTGTAGGAACAGCATTTTCCAAGTCTTAGAACTGAAAACTGACTTAGAACCCTTGAAAAGCATAAACATGGAAGATTAAAAAAAATACTACTATGCTAGTTTTGTATTTATGAACTCTGTTGGTCAACATCACAAATCTCTTTATGCTGATCACCGATTTAAAAAACAAACAAACACCCCTTCCCCCCTAGTTTTTTTTTTAGGAATTATATATTTTTTTAATTTTACTGTTTGCACTGAGAGTGACAGTATTATGAAAAATTAAAGTAAGTGCATGGGTGGGGATTAAAGGTATAAGTGGGTATTATGAAGATAGGGGGCCCATTCATTCTTCCAGATCAGGTAATGAGTTAATATTACCAATCTTTTATTTATTTCTTTTTCTTAAGTTCAGCGTTTAATTTTGAGCACCTCAAACTCAAAGTTAACCAAGTTTTATGAGTAGGAATAACTGCCTCCTGAAAGTATACTATATTTCTCAGCTCAACAGGCAGAACTTCAAAAATATTTTTAAAGTTTTGATAAGAGGCTGCTTAGTTGTTCTAAATAAGTCTACTGCTCCTATGTTTCATTAACCCAACATTGTAGACCTCAATGGCCCTCTTCCTACAAAGAATAAACTGCTCAGGATCAAGTGATCCTGTTACCTGTGCTCTTCTCCAAAATAGCTTCAGAGAGGTGAAAAAATAAAGTTTGCTTTAGTCATATGCAGACTATAGTTTGTATGAGCTGGTTTGGGTAAGGATAAGCCTGCCTGGGTTGGACTCACTAGATCAGGGTTTCTCAGCCTGCAAGTTGTGACCCAAAAGCGGGTCACAAGAATACATGAAAGGGTCACAAACAAACATGGATAAACACACTTTAAAAATGGATTCTCACTTAAAGGAGAAAAATGTGGGAAACCATGGCTTTTCCCCATGCAGGCTGGCAGAAGTCGGGGCTACTTGGGGCCCCTCTGCCCCACCCATGGGGGCAGCAGGTCGGGAAGGAGGGACACTGGGTCAGGACTAGTCATTGATGTTTGCAAATGGGCCCTGGTACAAAAAAGGTTGAGAACCTGCACTAGACCTCCGGAGGTCCCTTCCTGCCTGGCTTCTCTCCTATTCTAGGAAATCCTACTTTAAAATGAGAACTGCTTGTAACCCCTTTGTACCAGATGCATTTTACACAAAGACTGGGATGACCTTGCTTAGGAGAACATGATCCAAGATCCCCATATAATATGGGGGGGGGGGGAATTCCGCCCTATCCATTCATAGAAGCCCCCTATTGCATTTAATGTTTTTCCCGTGCCGTGGGGCGATTCCCGCAGGGCTTCGCTGTAAGATTCCAATAAAGCGAAACAGCTTTATTCCAACACATCGGCAGCTAAAGCACGCACTGGCGGAGACCACATCCAGGCAGAGGCAGAACCGTGTTGAGCGCCTGCGGGGGAAGCCCGAGCCCCGGCTCGGAGCGGCCCCGCGGGACTGAAGCGCTCCGCGCCCGCGTCGGGGCAGCCCGGACCGCGCCGGGCCGCTGCAGTGTCCGCTCCGCGCAGGGATGTCCCCTTCCCC